TCTATATATATATATTATATATATATATATGTATATGTATATGTATGCATAAATGTTCCCGCGTGTGTACTTTTTTATTGGATGGGTTCGAATGCTGGAGTACGCTGTGTGTGTCTCATTCGAGGTTCGATGTTGAGTGGTTACACAAAAGGAGATACAACAATCCCCTGTAAATTCCGTAGTAGCCCAAGGTCTGAAAGTGCTTGATACCTTGGTAAATTATGTCCCTGATGGTAGCAGAAAAACGATTTCGATTATTAGATTTTCAGGGTTTGCACACAATTGGTATTTGACAGTATGTGAGTGTGTACAGGTAACTACACAATGAATGTAAAGATCGGTATATGTGCGTATGTAGTGTTCTTTTGTGTAGAAGTTCAAATTCCATTGTGCATGTGACTCACCAAAATGTTATAGGTGACTCTAGGCGTACCATTAATCAGAGTCCTCTACTCTCCCAATATCTGTTTTTCTGTACATGCTCCTTTCTTGTTCCAGAATCTGTATTAGCTGCGACTCAAACACCTTCCACTTTGCCACAGATTTTGTCTGGCAGCCCCCCGGATGTGGCACAAAATGAGATGCTGGATATATTCGGCTTTGATCAGTTCGATCTGATACAGGAGATCTTTACCAACCGAGAAAAGATAGTCACCGCTGTGTTTAAGCAGCTAGAAATCATTGTAAGCGATGTGGCTGTGTGGGAAAGTGTGTCTGAAAGGCTTCGTACATGTTTATGAGAATGTCGGGTTTTGCAGACATGTGTGTGGTTATTACGTGCATGGGTGTGGCTGTGATTATATATGCGTGTGGTTATTATCATGTCTGCGTGTGAATACCAATACGTATAGCAGTTGTTGTCGTTTTATATGTTAGTGGTTATTCCTGTGTATGCGGATAAAACGAGTTATCCTTTGTTTGGATCATAATATTGGCTGAAACATCTTCCCTACCGACCCACAGAAGGCCGAAACACAAGAGGAGAACGAGGCACTCGTGGCGGAGAAGGACAATGCCAACAAGCAATTCGGCGCACAGGTGACAGTGACAACTCAGGGAGCCAAGGCACGCAGCAAACAGATCAGGAAGCAGCAGATCAAGGAGATGGTACGTTGGTCTGCTTGCATTGATTGCACGAGACGAATACGATGTGCATATACTTATATATATATATATATAATATATATAATATATATATATATA